TAAATAATGATGGCGAAGCCTAAGAAAAGTCACATTGAGTCATTTTGCCAGCCCAGCTTGTTGTAGGAAGACAGAGAAGACCACAGACACTGGGGACAGGATCTGGTGCAAAGTACACCACGCCAGTATCCAGGGAGAGTCTGTGAACCAGGCCAAGAATGGATCCCAGACCCATATCAGGGCACCCCCACATCCATACTGCAATGAAGAGAGGTGAGAACTGGCAGCATTGTTTTTTTTTCTTTTAATTAATTAATTTTTAGTTTTCAACATTTGCTTCCATAAGATTTTGAGTTCTAAATTTTCTCCCCCTCCTTCCCTCACTCCCTTCTCAAGACGGCTGGCAATCTGATATAGGCTATACATATACATTCATATTACACATATTTTCACATTAGTCATGTTGTAAAGAAGAATTAGAACCAATAGGAGGAACCACAAGAAAGAAGAAACAAAACAAAAAAAGAGAGCAAATAGTATGCTTCCATCTGCATTCATACTTCATCATTCTTTTTCTGGATGTGGATAACATTTTTCATCATGAGTCTTTTGGAGTTGTCTTAGATCCTTGCATTGCTGAGAAGAGCTAAGTCTATCAAAGTTAGTCATTGCACAGTGTTGCTGTTACTGTGTACAATATTCTCCTGGTTCTACTCACTTCATTTAGCATCAGTTCATGTAAATCTTTCCAGATTTTTCTGAAATCTACCTGCTTATTATTTCTTATGGAACAATAATTTCCATTGCATTCGTATACCACAACTTGTTCAGCCATTCCCCAATTGATGCACATCCCCTCAATTTCCAATTCTTGGCCACCACAAAAAGAGCTGCTATAAATGTTTCTGTACATGTAAGTCCTTTTCCTGTTTTTATGATCTTTTGGTATACAGACCTAGAAGTGGTACTGCTGGATCAAAGGGTATGCACATTTTTATAGCTCTTTGGGCGTAGTTCCAAATTGATCTCCAAAATGGTTGGATCAGTTCACAGCTCCACCAACATGGCATTAGGGTACCAATTTTCCCACATCTTTGTCGTGTTAGCCGATCTGATAGGTGTGATATGGTACCTCAGAGTGGTTTTGATTTGCTTTTCTCTAATTAATAGTGATTTAGAGTATTTTTGCATATGACTATAGATGGCTTTAATTTTTTCAGCTGAAAACTGTCTGTTTATATCCTTTGACTATTTATCAATTGGTGAATGACTTGTATTAACTTGCAGCATTGTTGCCCACTATGGAGTTTGAGGAGATGGCAAGATGAGGGGTGGGGGGAGAGAGGAGAGAAAAAGATATCTGTCGGTCTATCTATCTATCTATCTATCTATCTATCTATCTATCTATAGAGAGAGAATATTAGAGGGAGGAGTTTTGGAGAGAAGAGCTTCTGTCTTTTGGCAAGACCTTTTCCTTTCAATTATAGGGTTAAAAGGGGAAGGAGCCATAATGGGAGAAGGGGCTGGAGAGAATTAAGGGAATGGATTTCAGAGAAACATTGTGGTAGATTTCCCCCTTTAAACAGTTCAGTGACAGGAGAACATCCAGGTGAGAGAGAAGAGATTAGAGAGAACTGAGGGGAGAAGGTTTGGTGGGTGGGAGGAGATATCCCCTGAAGATAGGGAATATGGGACTGTAGCAAGGAAGAACTTAACGAGCTGGTAAGGATCGAGGGCAGAGATTTATAGAGATTGGGGTTGTTATTCCTTTTCAAGTGGGGGTAGCTGAAATTCCAGATTGAAAAAAGGTCTGGAAAGGATTGGGTAGTGATTGGAGAGTGATGGGAGTAGGCTTCATGTATCAGATAGGTAGCTGTATTGTAGATAAGAGCAACTGAGGACAGAGAGAAAGCTGGCACGGATCAAGGACAGTGGTTTCAGAGAGAGATGGAGATGGGCTCCCCATGTTAATTAAATGTGGGAGAGAGCTCATGAGGAAGAAAGGGGAGATTAGGGGAGGGAGATTATAGAGAGGTAGGTGTAGCTGGCAGGGAGGGAGTGGGGAACAAGGATCCCAGACATTAAAGGTGACTGTTGAAGACTGGGAGATCCTAGGGGCAATCCACTAAATTACTGGGGAAAACTGGACACAAGGTTTCCTGATCTTTGCCTGAAGACAACTTTCTAAGCCTCTCTGGAGGCTTTTTGATCCCTCTGCTGAGATGTACTACTCCCCACTTTTTTCCTTTCACATGGAGGCTACATCCCATACTCCTCTGTCATTCTACTAGACTTCTTTTACTTTTTCCTAGGTTGTCATTGAATCTTGTTCATTCCCTTCTTGGCTTCTTTTCCCCCTTAGTTTGTTTTGGTCCTGGGCACATTTTGGGATGAGATTTGGGGGCTGCATTTGATGTTCTGCCTTCTGCCCTTCGGAGAAACCAGTATAACCACTTTTTCTAGAGTCTTAAATAGCTTTGGTCTAGCTATTCAACCAATTTGGTTGAATTTAATAAACATTTAATTGATTGATTATTAATTAATTAATTGATTAAGTCCTTAAACATAGTGCTTGGCACTGGGGAAGATTAAAAGTTCAGATGGACCCCTGCCCTTTTGCAGCTCACGGTTTATTGGAGGATTACATATACAACTAGAGTATCCAGTAATACATGATAAGTGAAAAATAAATTACTGTGAAGTCTGAGGATGAAGATTACCAAAGGTTAGAGTGTGTTTCATGCCTCATGGAGGAGGTAGCATTTTAGTTCATATTTAATTAATTTATTTTGAATTATCAACAATCACTTCCATGAACTTTTGAGTTTTAAATTTTTCTCCCCCTCCCTCCCTCCCCCTGATGGTGCACAATCTGATATAGGCTATATATATACATTCCTATTAAACATATTTTCACATTAGTAGTGTTGTAAGTAAGAATTGGAACCAATGGAAGGAACCACCAGAAAGAGGAAACAAAATACAACAGAAGGAAAAAAATAGCAAATAGTATGCTTCAATCTGCATTCAAACTCCATAGTTCTTTCTTTGGATGTGGATGACATTTTCCATCATGAGACCTTTGGAGATGTCTTAGATCCTTGTATTGCTGAAAAGGGTTAAGTCTATCAATATTAGTCATCACACAACGTGGCTGTTACTGTGTACAACGTTCTCCTGATTCTGCTCACTTCTGAGTTCATATTTAAAGAAGGAATAGGAAATCAGCCGGCTAAGAGGGGTAAGAAAGACATTCCAGGCATAAGGAAAAGTGTGAGCAATGGTATGGAAGCAGGATGGACATGTTTGGGGGACAGAAGGTAGTCTAGGTTGGTTATAAGATAAAATGTGTGGGAGGGGAGATGAGATTAGGGGCGGCACAAGATCCATGAATGCCAGGCAAGAGAGTTTGAATTTTACTCAGTAGACAGCGGGGAACCACTCAAGATTCTTAAGCTTTGCTGTCTACATGAAAGAGACTGGAGTGGGGAGAGAGTTGAGATGGAAAGACTTGTAAGGAAGCTATTGCTTAGTCCAGGCAGGTGATAATGAAGATTTTACCAGGTAGTGGCAGAGGGAATAGAAAGGAAGAGGTGGATATGAGTGATGGTTTGGAGATAAAATCAGCAAGACTAGACTGTGTGAGAGATAGCGAAGACATAACTCTAAGGTTATTAAATAGATCTGCCTGGCTTCAATAAGTAGTAAGTTCCCTTTCACTGAAGTTGTCCAGGCAGAGGCTAATTAACTCAATTAGGGAAGGTGTGGAGTGAGGAATCTTACTCGAGGGTCCATAAATAGATTTCGGGGAGTCCATGAACTTGAATGGGGAAAAAAAATTACATCTTTATTATCACTAACTTCTAAATGAAATTTAACTTTTCCTTCAATTATGAATTTAAAAAAACCCTCAACATTATTCTGAGAAGGAGTCCATGGACTTGACCAGACTGCCAAAGGGGACCTATGACACAAAAAAGATTAAGAACCTATAGAATAGAGGGAATTCTACTGGGCAAAGGGTTGGGCTAGAGGTTCTCAAAGGTTCCATTTAGTCCTAAGATATAGCATTCTATGGGAGATCTGAGATGAAAAAAATCACGATGATGATGATGATGATGATGACAACAACTACTATTACCACCACCACCACCACCACCACATAGCTAGCATTTATATAGCACTTTAAGGTTTGCAAAGCACTTTATAAATGTCTTATTTTATCCTCATAGCTGCCCCGTGAGGGAACTGAAGCAGACAAAGGTTAAATGACTTTTCTAAATCATGCAGCTAGTATATGAATCTAGATTTGAAGAGATCTTGACTCCAGATTCAGTACTCTGTTGTGCCACCTAGCTGTTTGCTAAATTGAAGTTTGGAGAGTGGTTCAGAGGTTGGGGATGAGAGAGAGGGTGGGGTGCTACTTGTAAAATCAGTATTTGTTGGAGTCTGTAGATTGGACAGCCCTGTGCTTGACTTTGCTCATTGATTGTACAAAGGTCATTTAGTGTTTCAACTTCTGGCAGGAATTCATATATATATATATATATATTTTTTTTTTCCACTTCTTTTTGGTTTGTGGCTAGGAGATTGCAGAATTCTCGGATGAATGACTGACACAGAAAGAGTAGGACTGGGCAAAGACTGGAGGGGGTGATCAAACACTTTTCTTTAGGAGGAAAATCAACTCACCAATGTTTGTACAGAATGTATTACAAAAACCCTCAAGTTCCAAAGTGAAATGTATGTGTTGTTGTTTGTTGTTTGTGATTCTAATTGTTACTTCATTGTCTCCATTCTGCCATTTCCAGCAAGCTTTCTGCAGTTGGACTTTTTTATAGGGTCATTGCAAGACTGGGACAGTTACAGCAGTGCACTGTTCTATTTAGCCAACTGCCTTTTGTTTCTTTAAGTGCAGGGATGGGCCTGAGGATACCTGGGTGATTGATTCATTTGCTTTGGGAGAAGGTTGAGCTGGATTTGGGGAGAGGTTTGAGTAAAATGGTCCTGAAGCAGGACTGCAGCCCAGGTACCTGATAGAGACTTCTCACTCTTTGTAGGATACAGTGATGGATGCCAATCCCATAGGTATTCCTAATGCTGGTAAGCAGGATGTGTTTTTGCCAGAGATCCTACAATACTGCAGCCCTAAGTACATAACTGGGGAGATGGACAGAGTACAGAAGAACCTAGAGGCACTGAGGCAAAGACTTCAGGAGACTGTGAATCAGCAGAGAGCAGCATGGCATACCAAGGTAGGGATTAGAACCATACTGACAGGGACCTAATTTGGGTCTGGGGATTTGGAGGGCACTTGGTTTAATAACTTGTATTGTTCTTTGGGGTCTGCTCCACTCCTAACCCAACCCTTGTCCTCACTGAATTGAGCTGAGTTACTTGCTCCCTTTTCTACATCTCTGAGATCTGGCATAAGCTCTGGGAGGTCAGCATCTCCTCAATATTCAGGGTAAGGATGGGAAATTTAAAGAGAGATTCCAGGCACTAAACATCCAACCAGTTTCAGGTGATGCTTAACTTTAATATCTTCAGTGAGCCCTCAGTTGTTCTGCTTCTGTTCTGCCTCTGTCTTGTCCCTGAAGACAATTTCAATTCTGGCCCTCTGACTGACTTCTTTCTGCTTCCTGGTGGTGGGAGGTAGGAGGAAATGATACAGTCTCACAGGTATGAGGAACATCATACTACAAGATTCCTTATTATCAGGTAAGAGAGCACAATTTTTTTTCTGACTTTTAGACAATGTAAAGGAAAGTTTCTTAACAAACAGAGCTATCTCAAAGTGGAATGGGAAGCCTCTGGAAGCAGGGAGTTGCTATCACTTGGAGCTGTGACTCAGTGCAGTGACTGGATGGCCATTTGACAGTCATGTTGTAGAAGGGGTTTCTGTTCAATTAACAATCAATTAATAAACATTTATTAAACACTTAGCTTCCTCAGGTGAGAAATGGAGCCAAACTTTCCTCTAACTAGGAGTGCCTGTGCCTTCCATCATCTGCTGGGCACATCTCCCTAGAAGGAGGGTGGCAAGGGACTGGGTAGGACATCTTCAACAAAGGAATTTCTTATGTACATGTACCATTTCCTGCTAGCGCTTTTTTTCCAACCCCATCAGGTGAGAAGCGGAGCCAAAAGTTCCTCTACTGCAGACCTAGCCTTTCATTGCTTGCTGGGTGCACCAAGTCCCCTGAGAGAAGGAGGTTAAGTGTCTTCCATCTGCTCCAAAGTAACAACTTTTATTCAAAGTTGCACAAGGCAACTTACCCCTCCTGCTGCCAGCCCATTCTCACAACCGGGGTTTGGAGAACCTCTGGTGCAAAGAGGAGCAAGCATCCCTTTGACCTCAGACCTTCTATCTTCTGCTGTACCAATTTCTTTGAAGGAAGAGGAAGAGTAGGAGGAAAGTTGGTAGAAAACGGGGGCTTTTTTCCTCCTGTTTGCAGGCTCAACTTTCATCTCCTGCTGTACCCTTTTCTTGCTTAATCTTCACTCTTGGGAGGAGTATTAAAGCAGGACCTACAATCTGGCCACATACCTCCCTTCTCATACTGCTCTTGCCTCCAACCCAATTTCTGTCCTCTTTTAGGAAGAGAAGTGGTCCCCTCCATTCAGTGAACATTCTCATACCTGGTCATACCCTTCACATCTCAGTGATTCTGAACTCTCTGGAATTCCTGTTACATAGGCAGAAAGCTTCCCTTCATCTTAAATCTTTTCTTTTTCCACTCCTCCCATCTACTACTTCTTACTGAAATTTAGCTTCCCAGATGACACAGTCTCCTTGGCACCCTTTCCAGTACTGGCTGCACCTTTACTAACACTTCTTGGCTCCCTGGTTGAGGCAGGGGAGTTTGAATACTCCTTACTCCCCATTGTTACTTCCAGTTAGATAAACACTTAATAAATGTTTATTGATTGATTGAGGTATGAGGGTTAAGTTATGAGCAAAAGAATTACAGATTATTAAAATTTGCATGAAAGAATGCTCTAAATCACTAATAAGAGAAATGCAAATCAAAACAACTTTGAAGTTTCATCTCACACCAAGAAAATGGTAATGATGAAAAAAGATGAGAATAGTCAATGTTGGATGAGGTTATGGGACAATAGGAATACTGGGGCATTGTTAGTGGAACTGTGAATCAGTACAACCACTCTGGAAAGCAATTTGAAATTATCAATGTTAAATGCCCTTAAACTATGCCCTTAAACCCAGAGATATTGTTACTAGGTATGTACCTCAAAGAGGTCATTGATACAAAGTCACCATATACACCAGAATAGCAGCACATACTGTATTTTTTGTGGCAGCAAGGAACTAGAAATGAAATAGATCACCATGTGTTAGGGAATGGCTAAATTAATTATGATACAGGGAGCAAGTCAAGATGGTGGACTAAAAGCAATGCCTTGCTTGAGCTCTCTCCCAAACCCCTTCAAATACCTGTAAAAAATGATTCTAAACAAATTGTAAAGCAGTAGAACCCACAGAAAGACAAGAGTGAAACAAATTTCCAGCCCAAGACAACCTGATTGGTTGAGGGGAAAGGTCTGTTGCACCAGACAGGGAGAGGAGCGCAGTTCAGCATGAGCTGCACAGGCAAAGACGGGGCCAGAGCAAACCTGGAGCAGGCCTCAGGAGACTGAATCATGGGCAGCTGTGGTGGTTTCCAGACTTCTCAACTCAAAAATGCCAAAGACAACTTAGAAGGTCAGTGTGAAAAGTCTGTCAGACCTGGGTGAGAGAGGAGTGTGGTCCAGTCCTGACCCTAGAGCAGCCCTGGGGCAGTGGCCACAGTGGCAGTGGTGGCTTCCAGATCTCTCAGACCACAGACGGTGGGGGGATTGTATAGCTGATCAGAGGGTGACTGCAGGGATCGCTTTGCTGGTGCTGAGTCAAGATTCTTTTGCTTTGCCTGTGCTTGGATCTGGGTCCCAGTCCTGGGCAGCAGTCCTTGGGTGAGGAGGAGTGCTGGCATGGCGGAGCTTGTGCCTTGGTGGACAGGGAATCCTCCTCACAGTTCCAAGGCAGAAAAGAGTGCTTGTGGTCACTCATAGATCAGAGCACAGTCCAGGAAAGGAGTAAACACCTCCTTTGATCATACCACCTTGGAAGAACTGAAAATTTACAGGTTCCTAGAAGTATTTCTAAAAACAGCTGCATAAAACCTCTGAAACTTGGGACAGAACACCCTCCATACTAGAAGCAGAACCCTACCTTAACAAAGAGTTAAAAAGTCACATAATTGGCTGGGAACATGAGCAAACAGAGGGTAAAAAACTCACACTATAGAATCTTACTTTGGTGACAAAGAAGATCAAAACATGCAACAAGAAGACAGCAAAGTCAAAGCTCCTATAGCCAAAGCCTCCAAGAAAAATGTGAATTGGTCTCAGGCCATGGAAGAGCTCAAAAAGGATTTTGAGAAGCAAGTAAGAGAAGTAGAGGAAAAACTGGGAAGGGAAATGAGAGTGATGTAAGAAAATCATGAAAAACAAGTCAACAGCTTGCTAAAGGAGACCCAATAAAATGCTGAAGAAAATAACACCTTAAAAAATAGCCTAACCCAAATGGCAAAAGAGGTCCAAAAAGTCAATGAGGAGAATGCTTTATAAAGCAGAATTGACCAAATGGAAAAGGTAGTCCAAAACTCACTGAAGAAAATAATTCCTTAAAATTTAGAATGGAGCAAATGGAAGCTAATGACTCTATGAGAAATCAAGAAATTATAAAACAAAAGCAAAAGAATGAAAAAATAGAAGACAATGTGAAATATCTCATTGGAAAAACAACTGACTTGGAAAATAGATCCAGGAGAGATAATTTTAAAATTATTGGACTACCTGAAAGCCATGATCAAAAAAAGAGCCTTGACATCATCTTTCAAGAAGTTATAGGAAAACTGCCCTGAGATTCTAGAACCAGAGGGTAAAATAGAAATTGAAAGAATCCACTGATCACTTCCTGAAATAGATCCCCAAAGGAAAACTCCTAGGAATATCATAGCCAAATTCCAGATTTTCCAGGTCAAGGAGAAAATATTGCAAGCAGCCAGAAAGAAACAATTCAAGTATTGTGGAAACACAATCAGGATAACATAAAATTTAGCAGCTTCTGCATTAAGGGATCACAGGACTTGGAATATGATATTCTGGAGTTCAAAGGAGCTAGGATTACAACCAAGAATCACCTCTCCAGCAAAACTGAGTATAATCCTTCAGGGGAAAAAATGGATTTTCAGTGAAATAGAGGACTTTCAAACATTCTTGATGAAAAAATTAGAGCTGAAAAGAAAATCTGACTTTCAAATACAAGACTCAGGAGAAGCATGAAAAGGAAAACAGGAAAGAGGAATCATAAGGGCCTTATTAAAGTTGAACTGTTTACATTCCTACATGTAAAGATATTTGTAACTCATTTTATAAAATGAGTTTTTTTATAAAATAAGAATGACCTTTCAGGGTAGTTGGAGGGAATATATATATATATATATATATATATATATATATATATATATATAAATATATATATATATATATAGTAGAGGGGGAGGCGGGCACGGCATAGGGTGAGTTGAATATGAAGGGATGATATCTAAAAAAATAAAATTAAGGGGTGAGAGAGCATTGTATTGGGAGAAGGAGAAAGGGAGAGGTAGAGTAGGGTAAATTATCTTACATAAAAGAGGTAACGAAAAGCTTTTATAGTGGAGGGCAAGTGGGGGGAGGTGAGAGGGAGTGAGTGAGTCTTACTCTTGTCAGATTTGGGTTAAGGAGAGAATAACATGCACACTCAGTTGGGTATGGAAATCCATCTTACCCTACAGGGAAATAGGGGGGAAGGGGATAAGAGAGAGGGAGATGATAGAAAGGAGGGCAGATTGGGGGAGGGGGTAATAAGAAGGAAACAATTTTGAGGAGGGACAGGGTTGTAGGAAAGAATGGAATAATCAGGGGGTGGCATAAGATGGAAATATAGTTAGTCTTTCACAATGTGACTATTGTGGAAATGTTTTGTATGACTACATATGTATAACCTATATCAAATTGCTTGCCTTCTCAGTGAGGGTAGATGGGGAGGGAGGGAGAGAATTTGGAATTCAAGGTTTTTTAAATGAATGTTAAAAATTGTTTTTACATGCAACTGGGAAATAAGATATACAGAAAATGGGGTATAGAAATTGATCCTGTCCTACAGGAATATTTTCTGTTGAAGGGGAAGGGGATAAGGGGGTTGTGA